GCTTAAGATGGGCGCTGAAATCCGCCTTATTCCCCGCTGATTCTAAGTGGCGAATAGACCTTCCACCTATTCCACAGACGATGGGCTTAACTTCGAAGGTATAGACGCACCCACACCCATCCCCCAAATCGCTCAAGTGGAAAAACAAAGCCATTTAGCCATCAACATCTTTGAACACGATAAGGGTACGATCGTGCACAGATTAAGCTCCAATCCAGAAAACATACCCAAGATCAATTTATTTCTCGTCAAAAAAGAGGGCAAGTATCACTACACATCGATTAAAAGCTGACTGTTGAATTTCTACAAACACTGTCTGCATGGCTGGACATGAGCTGACCTGCTGGAAGCCCATAAGCAAGACTGCCTAGGAGTGGGATGGACCGCGATCAGGATCGACGATCCAATTTAACCATTATAAAAAAACAAATGCCCATGCCTTGCATGATGTACGCCGACTTCAAAGCCCTCACCAAACAGATCGAACACGTCTTGCCCGACACGACCGAACAAAGTTTCACATACAAAATGCAGGAACACCAAGCTTGCGGGTTTGGGTATGTGGTCGTCCAATGCGACAGACAAACGGAGGCTCCCGTGATCTACCGAGGTCCCAACACAGCTGAAACGATTCTTACGTCCTCACAACACGACGAGAAAAAAATCAGGGACAAGCTAGCCAACATTATACCCATGCGTATGATGGAGGACGACAAAATCAGGCACAAAACGTCGACGCATCGCCACGTGTGCAACCAACCTATGAACAGGGATTCTGTGAGAGATCATTGCCACATCACGGGTCGGTACCAAGGTGCCGTTCACAACGTGTGCAACCTAAAGCTCAAAATCGATCCACAAAAGACACTTGTTGCGCACGACGAAACCAGCTCAGGTAGAAAAACTCATGCCCAACTTGATGAATAAAACCAAGTACATCGTGCATTATAGGAATGTGCAACTTTACGTGTCGCTGGGCATGAAGCTGAAAAAAATACACCGGGTGCTCAAATTTTATCAAACTCCGTGGATGGAACCCTACATTCGATTGAATACCGAGCTGAGAAAACAAGCCATGAGTGACTTTGAGAAAAATCTCTATAAATTGATGAATAATTCGGTGTATAGCAAAACGATGGAAAACTTGAGAAAGCGCATCCATGTGAAATTAGTGCGATCCAATGAAGAAGAAAAACTGGGAAAACTCATAGCCAGCCTGGCCTTCAACTGAAACAAGCTATTTGATAACAACTTGGCGGCTCTACATATGAAAAAGCCACATCAGGCTCAATCGCCCAGTCTACGTGGGGATGAGCATCCTCGATCGGTCTAAGTACCTTATGTATGACTTTTATTATCATAAACTTAAGACGCAATATGGCGATCGTTGTTGTATTACGACACCGACTCATTGCTCTTAAAAATTCGTACCCAGGACGTGTACGAGGACATGGCAAAAAATATTGATTTGTATGATACGAGCGATTATCCATCAGACAACGCCCTACACAGTACATGCAATAAAAAAGTCCTAGGCAAAAAGAAGGATGAATGCACAGGTAGACCCATTGCGGAATACGTCGGGTTAAGACCTAAAATGTATTCCATCCTGAAAGCTGATGATGGGGAAATCCGAAAGGTTAAAGGGGTGAAAATTTACGTCGTGCAACGGCAAGTCCAACACACCCTCTTTAAACAGGCTTTCTGCCATAAACACACGTTCAAACACCAGATGAATATGCTCAGAAGTCACCAACATAAAATCTACGGGATCACCCTGAATAAAACATCCTTGTCACCCCTGCATACGAAACGCTGGATTGCTCGTAATGGAGTGACGACTTATGTGTACAGGCACTGTAATATTAGGGTAAAAAAAATAAGTACATAAAATCATGGATTTTTTTTTATTACAGCCCTCGCGGGTACTGGAAAGGTGCGGCCGCCATCCCGAAACTCGCCAAAGCCCCGATAGTCTCTGAAGACAAGCCAAAGCTTGGCTTGAAAAACAAGCTCTCTGGCAAATCTACCTGCCAGAGCCCAAATTCATCCCCTGACGAAAATTTGATGTCTCAAACCCCAATCGAATCCATCAAGCCGACCTCCTGTTTCTCCCACACGACAGCGTGTGATGAGATGCAGATGCAAAACCTACAAGTATGCTCTGACCGTCGTCGATGTCGCAAGTCGCTACAAGGAGGCCGAGCCCTTGACGACCAAAGATTCGAACCAAGTGGCCAAGGCACTGGAACGACCTAAAAACGTAGTCGCTTGACCTGGCTTGCCGAATTACAATCACGGACGCGAGCTTATGGGAGCCGTGTCACACCTGCTGGCCAAGCACGACGTCCAAGTTTGACGAGGCGTGGCTGGAGCTCACCGTAGCCAAGCCATCGTCGAGAGGTTCAACCGCACCGTGGCCGAGCGTTTGTTCGGTCACCAGTACTTCCAACGGAATGGGTTGAACACTTGCCTCGAGTGGTGGTGGCCATCAACAACGAAGTTACCAGACTCCTCGACAAGAGACCCGTTGAAGTCATTAAAATGAAATCCGCCACGGCTGAATTGGCTGCACCACCATCGTTCAAGGGTAATAAACTTGGAAAAACACGATCAAGTCGGATCAGCGTGAGGCATTTGTATCAGCCCGGTGAACTTGAGGAGGCAGCACAAGACGTGGCACAGACCCCATATGGTCTATAAAAATGTACTATATCGACTGAGTGGACATCTTTGTACTTCTTAAAAAGACGGACCGCCGAGAGGATTCTTCTGAGAGAAATTTAAAAATTGTTCCCCGAGACACGGTATTACCACCTTATTAAACATTTGTATATTTCGTATATCTATATATCATGTGGAGATTGATCGAGGCGTGTCGGGGTGGACGTCGATAGGCTCGATATTTACTCAGCCCTACGCCGAGTAATAAGTCGAGGGAAATTCAGCGCCCTGTACAATAGTTTAGGTCTGGTGGGTACAGAACGGCTACAACATGTCAGTGATACTTTAGTCAATTATAGCCTGGAGACCTGAGAACGCACCGCCCCGGACTCGACCTACTCCTTAGCCTACTTCAAGGAATTTATGACAGATCCCATCCATAACATCGTCGCTCAATATTACGGCTACGCATCCACCAATTGTTTGATAAGCTGCTGGGCTGGACTTACAATCTAATAAACCTTCCAAGGCAATTGCGGCCGGAGCCCCAGTATCATACTACTTCCCTCCACTCATTCGTCGTGACAAATACGTCTTCACAAACATAAGATTTTACGTATGTCTTTCCACACCCTTCTTTCTGTAGTTTGCTCGCTTCTACAATGGGCATATTGTGATGTGATTGGACTACCCAAACCGTGATTCACACCTCGCAAATGCCAATCCATGTTCAGATTTATTTGAAATTAATCGCAAATACGTTCAAAAGCACGCTGGTCGTATGGATTGTTCGTCGAGTCCCATGCCTTGTCCTGCGGAAGCGGTGCGCTGATTTCTTTCATGATGTGCCTGATCTGGTAGTAGACGTGAAACGAAAAAATGAAGTGACTTAATTCATCGTGACGAGAGTCGGTCAAGGTCACCCCAGATCCAGTTGTCGTGCTCCACAGTCAAAATTGGATTGATTTTGGCAGAATTACATAGGGTTTGGAAACCAAGCATGTACCATTTTCACATTTGTTACAGGAAACTTATAATGTTTAATACACCGATAAACTGAGGTCGAAAGTGGGAGCCGTCCGCATCCACAGCAGTTTTCATATGTGTGAGATCAGCAGCACTTACGTTATTACTTTTAGGATAAAGTACTCACGGTGTGTACATATTGAAAATATAATGAAGGAACTTTATACAGTCAACATGTTCGTTACGCTCTCGGGAATCACGAATGGTGAATTCGTTCAACTGCTTCATGCATTCAATAATACATCGGGGGCACTCCAAGCCGCTGTCTGTGACATCATGTATTACCCATGATGGATGAATATCAGTAAATATACAAACAACAAAAGGCTATTCATCGGTGGAAGCTGCCACACTATATCCGATGGTTATTATAAAATTTGTATGCTCAACGACGAATTTTTTATAGCCATCAGAGCCAGTCTCAAACTAAACGAGACAGATGGAACACTGATATTAACCTCTGGGAAAGATCTCATAATATTCGGTAAGCCCTTGGTGAAAACACTCAGGTTGACGTCGAGCAAAATACGACCCCTAACCAGTGGGGGCGAAATTACCGGACATCGTTCCTTATCATGAGCTGTTCATTCCTCTTGATCAGATCAGCACGACCGATAATATTCAAGGTGAACGCCCTCCGACACTGTTAAGAGCTGTGGCAGTGAAATACGAAAAGTGCAACGGATCGTTTCCATTCTTACAATACAAAAAGTTATCGTGGGGCATGATCCAGAAACTCAAAGTATCCGTTTTAGATATATAATATAAATTGGTGTATATAGGATATCTAAGCGCTGCACATCAAACAATGACAAGTGCTTCTGGTCCCGGAACTCAATGCCCAAGAAAATTCACTACCATAGCGATCTCCGATCTCGCGACACGCGAGGGTTTAACAAATCCGGTGTCAAAGGCAAATTATACGCCTTAGAATTAAGAAACAATGTGTACAGACGAGCAGAAGTGACCTCCACCAGTGGTGGTGGAAACCTGGGAGATTTATACGATGTCGAGACCGGAGGACTCGTAAAAATCATCCTGTACAATCTCGTCCGCAACAACAATAATAAATGGGTGGTGGTCCAAGCATTTGGTGGCAGTCTGGTCGATTTAGACAATGTCAAGTTCAGAGGTCTCATAAAAAACACGTTGTACCAGTCCAACCTTACCGATGATAACCAATGGGCATTGATCTCACCCAAAATATCACCGTCGTTTACCCCTATGTGTTTGCAGGGTCTAAGGATAATTATTTGATGAAAGTCCTCTATAATGGAATTCTAATCGCGGCGTACGTCCGATCTCAAAGAAGAAGTGTGCTCGTGAGCCTCATCCCTAGAAAAGCAGATCTTTTGCTAGTGAGTCGACTGGATAACCCAAATACGAGTTTACAATTGGTGCTTGAATTCAAAATAGCGTCAGACGTCTTATAAGCAACTCCAATCAATTTGACTCTTTATATCGAAGTCTTACTAGGGAGGCATCGCCAGACCAAGATGTTGAAATCATAATGGGGATAAAACTCTGTTGGCCTCGAAAACATCAACATCACCTTTTTGCGCGATTTACATACAGAAAGACGTGAATGCTTTCGTGAGTCTCGAGGGGGTCACAATTAACTTGGGGAAAACAAGTATTCAATCCACCTGGTACGGAAAATGCCTCATACATATTGCACTTACAAAATAATGTGTACAAACGACAAGAAATGATACTCAAATTGAACTGGATAATCAATATTATTTTACCTATCCTTATATTGTCATGGATGATGAGGATTTGGTAACCGAAATCAGAAATAATGAGGCTCTACTCGGGGTTTTAAATCCTATATAAAAAGATGACGTACGTAACGACATTACCAGACCAAACAAGCAATAAGTTAATCACCCGTCTGGAAAACAAATATAAATGGTTATTATTTTTTTCCATTTTCAAAAAACCCCAAGAAGACAAAGTCATCAATATCCCCCGCAATGGCAAAATACTCTTCATGAATATGTCTACGAGTTGTGATTATGTCAAATGTTTTGGTGTGTATATAGAAAAGTGGAAGGAGAGTATTGAAAGGTTTTAAAAGAAAGGAGCACTACCACCAGTTTGAGTCTAAGTCAAACTTGTTGGCATGGAAATGCAAAGATATTTGATTCAGAAATCCAACACTACCAAAAGGCATCAGTACACCACCGCAAAACGCGTTGCGGGGGATAATCATGATAATTATGAAGTCCCAAAGGCATGGTTAACTGTGCGTTGGAGTGATAATGATAAACATCAACGTATTTATGTACAACCAGGTGTAAACACCTGTACAAATCCACAAGGAAAGTCTACCATTTCACTAAGGTATATCTATTTATACGACAATCTAAACCTAATAAGCCTCAAATATGTTGATCAAAGATTGTCGGATAACCAATTGAAGGTTATCTCCTAACCTATATTATAGTCATGATGGGTTTGTATCCAGCCATGGGCAAAGTTGACAAACCATAGAAACTGAGGACGGTTTTGGTTTGCATCAAATTAGTGAGATCAAAAGACATCTCGAAAAAAACCCAGGATATGCGGATCGCATTGCCCAAAAATACCACAGAGCCGTCAATTCTATCGAAGGTGTGGACACAGCTCTTTTAACAGCCGGCATGGGGCTCGGTGCGGCTGGGGTTGGCTTATTGCCCACGATCACCACCACCCTGATCATGCTCGGATTAGTGGGAATAACACTTACATTTATTTCACGCCGATTGCAACATAAAGCGTTGAAACACGATAGCATTCACGTTCTGGCCAAATGAAAATTGAATATGATCGAGGATCATATCTCGACAGCAATCTCCGATAGCAAGATCTTCGAAGAAGAGTTTCGTTTGGTGATGTCGGAAGTCCCCAAATACCACAAGATGAAAGAAGAGATTCGAACCAAGACTTGTAAAGCCATGGGCATCAGCGAAGAAGAGAAAAAAAGTGCACGGAAATGGGGAAACAACAATTCATTCAAGCCTTCCTTTCCAAGAACAAAGACGTCATAAAAGATTAAGATTGAATTGTTTCCTCGATATCAATTCGTATTACTAAAACATTTTTGTTAAACTTTTGTCAGCCAGCGTGATTCGAACTCTAACACACAGAACCACACTGTGAAGTCTGCAGTGAGTGCATTACAGACGCCTGTCGCTTCGGTATTGAAAACACTAAATACGCAATAATGGAATGTGAACCTCGCAAACCAAGAAGACCTTTGTTACCTAGATAGTTTAGACCCTCCCTATGGATGTATTATTCACCCTTTTAATAGAACTATTTTGACGCCATCAAAGGTCACAGCCGGTGAGCTGATGACCCAGTTCAATTTTAGCCGACCCGCATTCCAAAGCGTGACAGACATTCCAAAGTGTGACATTTTCAGATTTTGTGAGCGTGACAACGTGACAAGATTTCCACAGCAGTGGAAGAAGACTTTCTCGGTATGATGGGGTAGGGTGCAGGATTCCTGTGGCTATACCCACTTTCTAGATGATCAGTTCAAACCTCCTCATTACTAATTAATTAATTAAAAAAAAAATAAAATACATAAATACAAAATAATAATAAATATTTTTCTGTTAACCACCGATGCTCCACGGCCAAACCACACCCCCCTTTTTAAAAAATTCAGGGGAGCTTAATTAAGCATAAATAAACCTCTCAGCAGAATTGCGGCCGTACCACCACTATGCAAATATTTTATCTAAAGTCAACTTGGGGGCAGTCTTAGGACTTAAGATGAAATTTGGTCTTAGACTTTAGATTTTCTCAAAGACCGAGCTTCATGATCCCGATCTAGGACACAATTTAGTCTTAAGTCTAAATATTAAATGTTAAGACAAAATATGGACTTAAGACACTTTAAGAAGTTAAACCTTTCAGCCCCTCTCATTATCACAAAACTTCATCCGATTGCATCAAATGGCGTGTTAAAAACTGAGAGTTTTGCATATCGTCCTTTGTTCAACAGGACGGTACAGAATAGTCTGAAGCATGTAACGAAATATTGATATTGTGTTCGGTATGTATGTGATTTCTTGACCAATGCATGTTAAAATCTTGAAAATGACCGCGCTTGTTCGGCACGGGACCATACCGCGTACGACCAGCGTCATATGACCATAGGTTTCAGCACTATTAACTTGAGACAATAGTTTTGTCTTTCAAAACTATTACAACAGATTCAGCCATTGGTATTTGCATTTCACAACGCCTTGGGTCACAACAAAGATGCTCTTTCAACCAAGATTCACAGACCGTGATTAGACTAGTGCCAAAGAGGTGATTGAACGTGCTGGGTCTTTTATAAGGCTCTTAAAATCTTCTTTATTACATGTGGACGAAATTTCCAAATTTGACATATTGGCGACAAAAGAGTTGTCAGATAACGACATGGATGAACAACTTCTTTATTCTGGTGATGCGGCATTTCAATACAGATTCTTGTATCGTTGTCAAGTAGGTACATGAGTATTCAGAAATGCATGCTTATCATATAATCGTAATTTGCCTTATGATTCTAGAAAGAGTTTATACTTGAGTACAATGTCCAAACTTGGAAAGTCTTATCTATCACAGGAGGCGACCATGTAATTTATCATATCCGCAGCGTAATTTTCACTTCGCCCCATTAGATGATCTTAATCACACATTTAATGCTCATATCTGAGGTACATTCTCGAGCTCCTTACACGATGGCCTTTCTAGATAAGTAAATGCTTTGCTAGATATGCGATAGAAAATTAAGTCAGTGAATTTCCACGCATGCATGAACCTACATATTTTCATTTCTCTTCACTAGTGACCACCCATTAATTTATTTATTTAATTAATTTCAACTTCGTCCCTTTTGATAGTCTTAATGAAAACTGAACGGTGTTCATATCTGGTATCTGCCATACATCACAGTACAAATACAACAAACCAGTTTATCTCAGTGAAGAAATTGCAATACTCATTTTGTAACACTTTTTGAAAAGGCTTTCTATTTGAGATCATTTTTCAGTGCATTTAATTAGACAACCCATTTATGTTCATATTTCAGAAAAGATCGGTAACACATCCACCATGTGCATTCAGTCTCACAGCAACACCTGTTACAAAGAGTTCAGCATAGAAACCAAAATGTGTGGCACGAAGGAAATATTCTATTTGATGAAAACAATATCCTCAAGTGCATATTGTTTTGGTAAGATTACATTCTCAATGAGCATTCATAGGGTTTCAAACTTTGAAGTAATATAGACAGTTACTGTTTTGTCTAAAACCTTTCATTAGCATTCAAAATAAGGTATTATTTAAATACAACCAAGTATCACCACGCATTAATAATGTGTTTTGTCTTAAGAACTATTCAATTCAGTCTATGTCTGTCTTACGAACCTAGATGATATATAACTAATAGAAGTTCACTATTATCCGTTTCTTCCATATCATTATAGTTAATAGTCCATAGCAATGCAGATGAAGAAAGCGGATGATCCTCAGCTGTTTAGTAGTATATTTATCATTCGTTTGTGATGAGTTTCCACTTGAGATACACACACGATGATGTTTAGCTGAAAGAGAATTAGTAACCTCTAAGCTGTGTTTAAAACTTTATAAACTAGAGCAGTGTGAAAATATTATTTATTTACCAGTTGTTCCGTTCATTGCAGGTAAACCAGGCAGTCGTAAGTAATTACGTCTGACATTCATGACAGCTAATTATCAATTAAATATATTCTCCTCCAAAAGGAACGCATAACTGGTATTGATATACATTGTATTGAATTCAAATATTTTCCAAAATAATAAATCTCACGTTCCTTGTATGATCTTTTCATATTAGGAACGAGGGTGGAGTGGATCAAACTTTGGGACCTTTAATACTTATTTGCGTTGTTATTTGTCCCGAGTCAGACACATTTTACTGTTATTTATCCACAGTGAGTAATACTGGTCCTGTTAGTGGTCCTCGGGCAGTCATACTGGATCTATCCAAGCGTCTTTGGCAATGGACGTTCCAGACATATTTGGGCCAACGCACCCTGCCAGGCCAATATGACTGACTTTGAATCTATGGCAAGGATAAACACCCATACAAAAACAAAATTGAGGATGCATTACACAACGTAACGGATGTATGTACTCTGATTGTTACAGCTCCAACATTTAACGTGAAACCAAACGTTACTATCACACTCCGTAATTATACGGATAAAAGCAAGTTGGAGTTCCGGTGTGAGTTCAGCAAACACACAGATGACGTCTTCTACACAACTAACTGGGTCGTTAATGGAGAGCTTGTCCTCAGTGAAGAACCCGTGAAGTGGGGCGGTGGAAATGTTATAGAAACGCATACTTTGACAGAAGCTAAACTGATCAATGAAAGCATAGTTCATGTTGGATTCGAGGTACATACATTTTAGTCTTAATGCCATCATTATCATTAAAAACTGATTCAGTGGCGGAAGTCCTCAATAGTAAAAGAAAGTAAGGCAAAGAGGCTGAACTGATTTTGTCACTTCAAAAACAGCCGATTTGGACAGGTGCTAGTTGTGCCATTAATTTAACTGTGAATTGTCTGCCTTTAAGATTAACTACACAGGCAACTTACATGTTTTGTCCACAGAAAGGGAATTATACACACCTTTACATTACATTTTTACATCTCTTGGCTTTTTTTAATCTTCAGCTGCGGTGTTCAGTGAGAGCCAGCGTAAGAAAAGACTCAGCAGCCAGTCTTCCAGTCTTGTCAGACTCGAAGTTCATTGGGATTAAGGTCAACAGTCTCGTTGAAATTATCCTTTGAAACTGTCTTTCTGGCATAATAATAATACACGAGCTCAAATGTATTTCAATGCAGCATCAACGGACATATAAATATGTCTTCTACCTTCTTTTCGTGATATTTAAGCCAACTGATAATTAATGTCTTAATCTTTACTTCATTGTTGTCTTTTCTATGCCACTTTTCCTGTTCTGGCAGTATTTTTCTTTGGTGAGAATTTAGTGTTGTAATTCAATTCTGAAAAAAAGTTCTTTGCATTGGGCAAGCATCAGTCCATTACGTCGTTCTACATATATTCACTGAACCGTGAGATCGAGCTACAAATCATTTCTGAAATGGAATTTCATTGAGATTTGAAATGTTTGTTTACTGTCGCCTGCAGATATCTAACAGAACACTCAAGCTTTCAGAAGGAGAGTTTGCTGACATTACCCTGAAGTTGACGGTACCATTTGGATGTGGGGCTGGATCCCTTGGATGTGAACTCCACATAGAGTCAGTTGAACTCGGTATGTACCTATGGACATAAAGGCGATGGAAACCAGTGGGATTAAGATTGTTAAAATATATAATGATCTTGCTACTGACCAATACGACATCGTCCTCTGTTCGTTACCCAGCCACGGTGGCATTTCTGGTAACACAATAGCCGATCTTGCTGCCAAGGCAGCACTCAACAAATCTGTGACACCACTTCTTATTCAATACTCTGATTATAAAGTAACCAGTATATCTTATATCCGTGATCTGATGCAGAAGTGGGACACTCAAGTAGGTATCAATAAAGTACATGAAATAATACTCTATTTTGGTTACACCTACTTGGGTTGTCAGTCCAGATTTTAAGTGGTCATCATGCGACGATGTCGTATTGGCCACACAAATTATACTCATGAATACCTATTGAAAGGTGACGATCCTCCGTTTTTCATCCCTTGTGATGAAAGAATTACGGTCAAGCATGTCTTCCTTGACTGCGTTGAATATTACATTACAAGGGATAACTATTTCAAATCACGAACTATGAAGGATCTTTTAATAATATCAGATCCGTGAAGGTCCGGGTTAGAATGTGCCTTCAGTTACCCATGCTTGTCGTAAGAGGCGACTAACGGAATCAGGTGGTCAGGCTCGCTGACTTGGTTGACACATGTCATCGGTTCCCAATTGTGCCGATCGATGCTCATGCTGTTGATCACTGGATTGTCTGATCAAGACTCGATTATTTACAAACCACCACCATATAGTTGGAATAGTGCTGAGTGTGGCGTCAAACTAAACTCACTCAATCAATCACTTTAATAATATCATTTCTTATTTAGTTCTAACATTTTAAAGAGAAATCGATTTGTTGAATGATTTGTAAATAGATAAATATTTTATGATTGGAAGTGTAATTAAGTAACGGTTTTTAGTGGCTGTATCCTCAAAAGAGGTAAAAGTACTGTAAACTTATTGTCCTCCTGAGAGGGTACGTAAGTCCCAAAACATTCAAATTATATTAAAAACCTCCACTTTTTAAATCGTAGAATATGTGTGATTTTAATAAATGGCTAGATTTGTCTCAATTGCAGGAAGCAAATATACTGTGAGTCCCCAAAGTCCTTAGTATAGCGATCTTCCTTCAGGTGTTGGCAATCTTATAGCCTGTTTTTATATTGTATTGCCATCTATAGTTAAACTCTTTTAGATTTAGTTACTAGTTTTAAATTCATATCTGTGATAATCTATTTATTTTACTGTCCTTCATTGGCAGGTTTTTATAATTTACCATAAATTACTATGTATAACAATTTATTGTTCTCGTCACGATATGGCTGTAATATTGCCGATGTGACGATGCATTGTAACTCACTCACTCACTCACGTCCAATAGCCCACGCATCAACCATGAAAGGCCGTGGTGATTTCTGGTAAGAAGGTACAGTATACCCTGGTTATAATGCCACCGTTTGTCCAGGAGAAAATATGGCATTATATCCAGGGTGGCATTATAATTATAACATTATAATCCAAGCGTCTAGAGGCTGCAGGTGACTTCTTCTTGTAGGTGGGAGGAAGTGTATTGTCACGTGTGCTATTTACAAGACTACTTAAAGCATCAATCAGTTTCGTCAATTAATTTGAGTCATGTCAGGTAACCAATTAAGGTATGTATACTACATGCAACCAGTGTAATTGACATTATGACATTATGACTTTTTGTTCCAAAAAACATTGGCAAATGGCATTACATCCAGGGTATTATGTAGGCAGGAAATCGGTTCAGGTAAAAACATGACATTATATCCAGGGTGCCTTTATAGCCAGGAACATTAAAACCAGGGTGCAGTGTAAATCCTTTTGCAACTCAAAGGCAGACTTGGCAGATTGCAACACAATTACCTGAATCGATGATGCTCATGGTAATGTTTGGGTCAGATAAGTTGTAGAAATTTCTATGTTGATATATATAAATTTAGTTTCCACATTTCAGAGACCACCGCTGATTGCCAAGAGGCTAGATTGGCACGCTCTACTTGTGGAACAGTTTTTAAGGATACTGAATGGGATGAAGCTGCCACAATCAGGGTGTTTGGTCAAGTTTCTGAAATCATTGGATCATCAAATACTGTCATGAAACTGAAGCTGGTGATCCCTGACGATCTAGCTGACAACACGTTTTGGAGGAACTACACTATCGGCGTCATAACGGTAAAATATAACGCATGTATGATGTAAATTATCACATTATCGCTGCATCGACCAAGCTGTTAGACTCCACGTCATACCACATTTCCACGTCACCGGAACAACATTTTCCAGCATGATAACGCCCGGGCCCATACTGCCAGAGCTACACGGGACTTCTTGCAATAGAACGGTGTCAACATTATGCAGTGGCCAGCCCTTAGTCCTGATTCAAACCCAATTGGACATCTTTGGGATGAAATTCAGATTAGGCTGAATAATGTCATACCAAGGCCGAACACAGCCGAATTATTGCGCCAGGCCTTTCTCAGAGTGTGGCTCCAGGTGTCAATAGCCTTCAGCAATCGATTGGTGCACTCCATGCATAGACGCTGTACCTCAGTTATTGCCGCTAGTGGTGGTTACACTAGATACTGAAGTCAAGAGTCTAAATGAAATGCAAACGTTCACGTAATGTCTTGAGTTATTCATTGATGTGTCAAGATATTGTACACAAAAATGTTTTTTGAACCGCTTATTATGTCCATTTTTGTAATGATTTGATTACAGTGCCTATCTAAGTTTAAATTCTTACTGACGTTTTATTTTGCTGCGGTGTATAGTTGTAGTATTAGCGGCGGCAGCAGTAGCAATAGTAGTGGTTGTTGTCGTAGTTATAGTAGTAGCTGTTACAGTATACAAAAGGCTGTCATTTGAAGAGCTACAGTACTTGGAATTAACACAAAATTAAGCTTAAAAACAAACGTTGAAATTTGGGTTTCACAAACATGCTATGACAGCTCCACTGTCTAAGGATTCGTAAAAATATACTAACAATATTATACATAATTGTATATCCGTTTCATTTTGCAACGTGTAAATGTTCAGGTTCTGCTGATAAAGAACACAGAGCTGATTGATGGGAAGTCCTGTCACGCTACCAGTGATCCACACATGCTGACATTTGATGGAAGGTAAATCTGTCTAATGGGTCTATTCATAGTTCAGTGTGTCACGTCAATAGTATTAGTAATGAAAAGATACCAATCGAGTGTGAAAAAAAAGTACTCACACGACTACACGGAAAATGTACATATGCATATTGTAATGAATCTATATTCAATCGATGTTGAGACCCTCAATAAAAGCCAGTTTCCCACAGGAATTACTGTAACCTCATACAGTAAACTATAGCTATAACGAGCTCAAAGGGTTCACTAAATTTAGTTTGTCATAACCGTTCTTTATATGCATTTCGACTAAATTATACAGCAGGAGTGAGTATGTAATAATTGTTAGTCAGAACATTTTTAGCAAAATTTCAGCCATACCGCCACTGAAACAAGACATACATTCGTGATACAATAGGTTGGATAATAGAAACCTGTCGACGAATGACGGTAAAATAACTATTAAAAAGTATCACTCTTGGAGCTTTAAAACAAACGTTTAACTTAAAAAAGATACGATACATAAACGGAGTATAGATCGTCAACTACAGGACACCCTACCGAGAGCCATGGAGACTTACAATACATTTGCTTTCTTCATACTTAAAATAGCAAATATACCACGAAGCTGTGTAGACCTAAATTTACTTTGAAAGTGTTTTGATCCACATAACCTCTCAATGGGACAAATAAATTAATTTGTAGATTTGTATGCATTATATAATTTCTTTTTCTTTATACGGTAACTGATTGTTTCCGAATTCTTAAAAGTGGTCAATGTTAGGTTGACCTGTAGTATTACTAATTGCCAAGGTGATGATAACGTGCATGAAGGATATATAATTTCCAGCTCAATATTAGCAGCAGAAATGAAAGGTTTAAGAGGTGAGATGTAACAAGGGGTTGAATAAAAGGGGTTCTTTTTTTTTATTCAATACCTTTGGCATCGGCGTTCGTGAATTGATTTTGGATATATAATATATTCGATTCGCGTTTGCTTTGTTCAAAGGTACACCATGATTTAGCATTTAAAATCTTGAATGTATCCAAATTGTGGACCATAAGGTGGCGGCGGAAATAGTGTAAAGCCTTTTCCCTCACCTTCCTAGCTTCTTTGCAGTCATTGTTGGACCATGGTTTGGGAATGTGTGTAATTGCAGAGGACTTAGGGATACACTTGTCAGCTATGTTGTTCAGTTTATCAGGAAAATAGACCTGTTATATCATCAGGAACATCAATACAAAGTTTTTTCTGTCGGCACACAGTATGTCATATAAAGGCCAGTTAACCTTTACAAAATTCAGGGCTTCGAAGCTGGTCATAAAGGGCTTGAAGATTATCTTGCTGAAGAAACAATGCTTGAGGAATGTAAAGATGTCCTGAGACCTTTGCAATTCCATTGATTTTGTGAAAAAGAAATATTTCGTGGCGACGTACTTTTGTTGCGGACATGAGGAAGATTATTTGTATGGCATCACATAAGCCTTTGGCATACGACTGTAATATTTTGCTCAATGAACTTTTTTGTTGGTCCTTTTCACAAAAGGGGATGGAAGTCGAAGCCACTAATGAAGTTGACGTTGATGCATTTGGTGATATTAATGCACGATCATCTTGTGAAGATGAACTGAACATAGTTATCTGCCCACACCCAAGTAATTTTTTAAGGTGTGCTTGGCACAGCTGTCGACAATGCTGTTGTTTGAGTGGTATTTGCAATGACTATACGCCTTGCTTCCAGGAAGGTAATCGTTCCTTCAAGTATAATTGGGGAATCCGTTTGTTGACTTTTTGACAGGACTTCCCTAGAGTAAGTTTTCACAATGTTGGAGTTTTAGTCCATTTGTTCTCAGTACCGTCATCATCATCGCCACACTGGTGACATATCTTGCGATTGTTGCATGATAGTGCACCATAGGCAAACTGCTAGCATTTGTAACATCTTATTGTGTCGACCTGATCTTTCATCGAATTCATTCACAATTTCAATTTCTATCATACCGTGGAGACAGCGTTCCCTGACCCTGACCCAGACTCTGCCATTGCTTGAATTTGGTTTTATGAGTGAAAATCTTAACAGACATAGAAGACAGCTGTTTTCCTCATCGAAAGAATCATTGTATGAGAAGAAACCAGCTTACTGTACACGTCTTCTTTATAAACGTATTTCACTAAAATATATCTGTTTGAATCGGCAGTGTGATTTTTCCATATACAACAATGTTTCCATTTGTGAATCCTTTAAGTGATAGAGGTATTGGAGCGACTATATTTGAACTATCTTGGGAACATCGCGCAGACACCGAACAAAGATGGTATGTTGATTTGATATTGGACATTAGGCTCATAGCTTTGAAGAATTGACTGTCATCTTGCTTACTGTTACTTTTCAGGAGATACGAACATCAATACGAAGGTACCTTCACCATGTATAAACACGAGACCTTTCCAATTGAGGTATGTAGAAGTAATTAATGACACTGATAGTTATCCAGGAAATATTACGTTTGCTGTATTATTACCTCTATTATAGGTAACAGAGGCAAATAAAAGCGGCAAAACTCTTTCAGCTTCCAAACAAAATCTCTGACAAAATCAGGATTGACTGTATAGTTTCTACTATATCCTGAACATGTGTCTTTCAATCACTATCAAATAGTGATGATACCAGGTCTGTGTAACTCGCCATAACGGTAGCACCGTTCATAAGCACATGTAAAAGATAATCAGCGTTTCACATGTAAAACACGGTAACATATCTGACAAGGAGAGATAGGAGACATATCATTCTTCCTCCACATGTCAGCCAAAAAATGTTCTGAAAGCTTTGCAAAGACCTTCAATGTTGTAAACTTGATAAACTTTTAATGTCGTGTGACGCCCTCTTGGTACATGTAAGAAGAGTATGCCCGACTGAACCTGTAAAGTTGTTAAATCACCAGGGGGTGGATTTCCAAATCGGCGATTGGAAAGTTAATGCCATCCTTCCTGTGTGCACATCTACTCAAATCTTAGATAATGTTTACATCAGGCAGGAATGAGAGTGAATGAGAACTAATTTCGTGTTGATGTCATGAGATTGCTTTTTTTCTGTTGATCTTACAATTTCCAAAACACTGCCGTTTGGTTTAGGAATGTAACATTTGTACTGCAACAGACAAAGATTTATATCATACAAAAGTGATTAGATTAAGGGATATGTTTGTGGTATTTAACGGTTATTATGTGCCACTGTTTAGTATCATATTCGATATCAAGATCAACCCGAGACTACAATATCACGCCGATAACGGGGTCGATGGTTGATATAGGCGCGGTCGGTGAGCTGGCTAAGGCGCAAGGCTTGTGATCCACCGAGGTTGAGGTGTCGGGATTCGATCCCACCTGTGACCGGGTGTAAAGCCTTGGAGTCAACTTTGTGTGCAGACTCTTTCAGTGTTGTCACAACCCCTAGTGTACAGTACACAACCCTTTGCACTTAACAGAGCCCACGAATCCGTGGGTGTATGACCAGATGGTGGCCACATAAATACGTGTAAACACATAGTTGCAGGTACAGCAGCGTGAAGTGAACTTGAACAAAGTACTGTGACTATGTGTTCCAGTCCACCCAGCAGTGATGAGAAAGTCACAATAACTGTGCGCGCCTAGTGACTACAAGAGTTGTATACGCCCCAGGGAGTTGAGTGAGTGAGTGAGTTAAAATGTTAAGTCACATCGGCAATATTTCAGCCATATCGTGACTAAATCAAGTTAAGATATATTAACAATTAAATGTAAATTATAAAATCCTGTCAGCGAAGGACAGTAAAACAACTAGATTATCACAGACATAAACATAAAACTAGTTTTTAAATCTAAAATATTTTAACTATATATATAATACAACATAAAAAACAAGCGACAGACTGCCAACAACTAGGGTGAGTGAGTGAGTTAATATTTAACGTCACATCGGCAATATTTCAGCCATATCGTGACGAGAACATTTTACATTGTAATGGAATATGTATATATTATAAAACCTGTCATCGAAGGACAGTAAAGCAACTAGAGTATCACAGATATATATATATGTAAAACTAGTAATTGAATCTAAAACATTTTAACCATAGGGGACAACACAATCTAAAAATGGGCTATAGATCGCTAACAACTGAAGGTAGATCACCATACTAGGGACCATGGGGACTTACAGTGCATTTGCTTCCTGCATGGGCCCTAGCGGGATTTATATCATCCCCCTCAGCCGTTAGCAAGCTCAGACAATTTAGCCATAAATTAAAATAACACATATTCTGCGGTTATAAATAATGGTATGTTTAAATTTACTTTGAATGTTTTGGGACTTACGTACCCTATCAGGAGGACAATATTTTTACAGTACGTTAACCCCCCCTTGAGGATACAGCCACTAACAATCTGAGTTATTAATTTAAAACCTCCAATCATAAACTATATATCTATTTACAAATCAGTTAACAAATCTAATTCCTTTAAAAATGCAATAATCAAATGAGAACTTTTATTATTAAAAAGATCCTTCATGGTTCGTGATTTGAAATAGATATCCCTTGTGATGGAATATACAACACAGTCAAGCAGGACATGCTTGACTGTGACTCTTTCATCACAAGGGATGCAAAACGGAGGATCTTCACCTTTAATCAAATGTTCATGTGCATATCTTGTGTGGCCAATACGACATCGTCGTATGATGACCTCTTCAAATCTGGACTGACAACCCAAGTAGGTGTACCAGGGAGTTGAGATTCATAATACGATGTGCCGTTGAGATTGACATCCATTGATCGTGGGGAAAAAATACCAGCTCCCTGATCATGCACTAGTTGCCTAGATATGTGCGCTATATGAATAACCTATAATAATAATATAGCAAATATGAGGTAGTTAGTGAGCTACGATTTCTAGTAACATCGGCATTATTTAAGCCACATAATCATTAAAACAAATTATACATTCATGACACATAAATCGAGAATATAAAAACATGTCGAAGGCTTACATAAAAAACCCCCAGAAATTCACAGATACAGATATAAAACCAGCATGTAAATCTTACACCATGGACAATACAAGATATAGAACAAGCTACAAATCGTCAACAACTGAAGGTCGATCACTATAATAAGGACCATCGGGTCTTACAGTACGTTTGCTACCTGCATGGACGCTAGTTGGATTTATACCATTACTTCTGCTGTTGGTGACTGTGCTATTTATATATTTTCACAAAATATACATTTATCATATTATCTTTTAAAGTCAATATTAAAGTGCGTTTATTTGCAAGAATATGAAATAGATTTCACCCTGCATGAAAGACGTTGTCTCGGGAAAGGTAGTCAAGCAGACCAACGGACGACACGTCAAGGGACGTGACTCCAGTGTTTTACCAACCGAATTGATATGGATCGTCCTCTTTACAAGCCATATCAGTCCAACGGGGGGTGTCAGGCGAGTCTGTCTTTTCCACTCCCTGTAATATGATTGTCACTGGCTGGCCCTACTGCGCATGCACAATGTCTCCTACATACGTCATTGATAGGTGTATGATACGTATAATAATCTGTTCTCTTCCATTTGAAATGTTTAAGCAGACATGGCTAATGGCTATGCAGAGTGTCTATTCTGTATAGTACCTACCCATGAAACCTCATTTTAAGGAATGATGTACGCATTAGACTGTATTGATGGTATCATTATAGGTTCAAATAAAGACAGCGGATTGCGGGATTAACAATGCGTGGTGTAATTGTGGCGTTGCTATACGAGCTGGCAGGACAGTGTTTGAGATAAACAGGTGCGCGGGACAGTCCAGTATCTGGACAATAGAATACACCCTGTGTGAAGACAACGGAGATGTACTTCAGGTCAAGAAACAGGACAAAAGCTATGTGGTAATGTGTGTTCTTATTTATTGTATACTTACAATGTTACACCTCAGGTCACAAAGTCTCAGTCGAAGGCCATTTCGGTTGCAATATTATTTTCTTTTCATCAATATTAATCGACGTATCCGTCAGTGTCACTAAGGCATCTTAACTGTTCCAGTAGTTCATATGTAGTAGTTTTGAAATACGAAACTATTAAACATTCAACTATAACAATATCCGCAAAAAACAACTTAAAAAACAAACCAAAACCGAATATTTTAACAAACATCTTACTCTTCCAAAGGTGATTTGCCGCATGGGGGCACGGAGACAGTTGGTGTCTCAATCGTCCACCTGAATGTGTCAACTCAAAAATAAAACTATAAAACCCTAAAGTTAACGTCATTATCATCATCATTACACATTTGTAATGCGCTGGTATGCATGCAGTCCATGCTCAAAGCGCAGATAGAATGTAACAAATTACACAGTTATAGTTGAAAAGGCTGTCCTGAACAAATGTGTTTTTTAACCGGGATTTGAAAGTGACAAAGTCAGTACAGACCCTGAGATTCTGTGGAAGTTTGTTCCAGGCCACTGGTGCTGCATAGGCAAAGGATCTGTTTCCATACTGCACTGTTCTAGTTTTAGGGACAATATGAAGACTGTTATCTTGTGAACGGAGCAAACGAGAAGGCTTGTACAGAGAAGGAAGACTGGATACATGTGTAGGGGCAGTGCCAGACAGACAGCGGAAGACAAAAGCAGAGAACTTTAAACTCAATTCTGAAATCCACAGAACAACCAGTGTAGAAAGTATAGAAAAGGAGTGATATGATCATTCTTCCTGGATCTTGTCACAATGCGGGCTGCTACATTCTGGACTCTTTGTAGCTTTCGTATCTGAGGCTTGGTTGCACTGGCCAATAGACAGTTGCAATAGTCAATTCTGCTCATGACAAGGGATAGAGTTGTTGCTGTTTCAGTTGTCAGGTATTGACGGATATTGCCAATGTTCCGGAGTGAGATGAAGCAGGTCTTAACTGGATTAGAGACATGATTGTCTAGTGACAAATATGAGTCTAGGATTACACCAAAATCTCTGACTTGATCTGCGAAAGGAATATGTGAGTTGTCGACCTCGAAGGAATCAATACTACACAGATCCCTCCGTTTCACTGGACCCAGGAGAATAGATTCGGTCTTGCTGCTATTCAATTATAGTTTATTTACTAGCAACCAGAATTTGATACTGACACAACATTCGGACATGTCTCTCGAGGAAATATCTGTTTGGTCCTTGTCAGGAGTGAAGCATCTGTAAACCTGTGCATTATCTGCATAGTGATGACGATTCATACGGTGCTCATCAATTACGCTTCCGAGCTCTGTTATGTACAATGTGCACAGGACTGGTCCTAGGACCATGCATACATATATAACGTGCATACATATATAAATCACCGTGAAATTGTGGTGACGCCACTAACTTACTTTTCCACAGGTGTATCTGCCGACTGGAGGGAAGGTTGACATTAATTTCGACATGACCTTCCTCAATGTTTACATCTACCCGTCAGTCCAGGACGAGAATCAATGCCGTGGTCTGTGTGGGACACTGACAGGAAACTGCAGCGACGACTTTGTCCTCAGGAATGGTACCTACTCTACAGATAAAACGGCAACGAGGGGTTGCGAAACTACATACAACCACGGGCAGAGTCTTCTTACATTTTCGAATTCATGGAGGTTAGTCTTTTATCAGATCAAACTTGTATGTTGGGTTTATTACAACTGTAATCCCTGCATCTATAAGAAGACTGACTGACTGACTGAGTTTGGTTTTACGCCGCATTTAGCAATACTCCAGCAACATCACGGCGGGGGGACACCAGAAATGGGCTTCACACATTGTACCCATGTGGGGATTCGGACCCGGGTCTTCGGCGTGACGAGCCAACGCTTTAACTACTAGGCTACCCCACCGCCCCCTGTAAGAAGAAACAAAAGTTAACATCATGAGCATCACACAACGCCGTCAAGAGACGATGGCACACATTGTAATTAATAATTAACCAAACAGTAATACACATTTGAGTTTTTTTTATTAATGTGATGACACGGCTACAAATTTCACCAGATGTATTCATTTGATCGGGCTTAGATTTGTTGCAACGTTCATGTACATTTTATCCTATAGGGTTGATAGGGACCTGTTTGATCCGGACATTCATGCGTCACTGCCAGCGTGGCCCCGGACAAACTTCTATTGTTCCTGTTCCCCGGTTCCTGCATCCACAACACACACTGAGGCAGTAAATTGCACTGCAGCCATTCATAAGGTGTGCAAAACCCTCCCGGGCTTCACAGACGTCTTCCCGATTCCGTGCACAATTACCGAAAGGCGAAGGAGAAGATCCGCAGGTGTCCGTTCGGAATCACCAAGGAGATTACGTCGGGTACGAAATCCATACCTGAAGAAGTGGTCACTCTATTTTCGAAGATGTCATAGCAGGCCATATTCGTTTGTTGCCATGATATCTTTGGTTTTCCTTGTATGACTGCGTTTGCTGATCTAGACCTTATGCTAAACACCCATTTACTTTCGAGAATAATGTCACATTATTGTTATTGCTCAAACAGAAACATCTTATGTACAACGCTGCATGTTACAGTTTTATTCGCAAGAACATCATATGCAAATAGATCAGTTTGTAATGTTACACTGACTTCACTTGGAGGTTAAAAAGATAAATAAAACGATGCAAATTGGAAGACCAAAAGATACCGGAAACCAATTTTGGATTGTTTTGCCAAATCGTGCAACTATATTTTTTACCTAGCAAGCTGTGAATGCGTGGACAAATGGATGGACAGAGGTAAAAGCTAGGTCATTCTGTGAGAACCAGTTCCAGGAATCGCGAACAGTACAAGTGTGCAAGAACGTAACTGGCGTTGGGATAAGCGGAAGCGTTGACAACTGCATCCTGGACATTCAGGTATAGGACATAAATATTTACACTCTTCCATTGCACAAAGAAGTTGACATTCGTGTATTGCCAGTACATATACACATTCAGGCATTGAACCTAACAGTAGACATTGCTGTACTTCTAGAATAAATCAAATCATTGACACTTACGAAGATCAACATATTATCTGTTTGTATGAATATGAAAGCATTTTGGGTGATTACCGCCAGATATAAATATTAACAGATTAACAGTGATATCATGTTTGAGTTTATTTCGAAGTTGACAGGAACCACGGATTTTTTTCGTTTCTCTGTCGACACGGTGAGAGACAAGTGTCTGCACGAGGTGCTGGTTGATCCTGAACTCCAGGTAAAAAATTGGACAACAAACATGTCAGTCTATGATATTGTTGTGGCTGAGGCTTGTCTGAACGACTGCAGCGGCAAAGGAACATGTTCAAATGGTAATACACCTTGAATTGTAAACAACATATTTGGGGGATAAACAAATCTATCTTCCAGATTTCCACATAAAGAAATGTTTGGACTATTGTTTTGAATTCGACGGTGTAGCCTTAACAAAATCAATAATTGAACATCCAATTATATCCCCACCTCTAGAAAACACTCTTTTGATATGAAAATGTATAATTCATTTTGAAAGATTGCAAAAATACTTTGATTTACACCAGAGATAATACGATATCATTCAATCAGTTAACCAATTTTGAAAATGAATAAATCTAAGAAACCAAAACTAATACCCAAAAGTAAACCATAAACAACCATCCCCTTCCCGAGAAACATGTTTACTACGACATATTCTTATTCTGAAATACATGGGTTTGAGCATCTGTCATGTTACGTCCCTTACAATTTTAACAGGTGGATGTGTATGCCAATCCAACTATGGCGGCTCGGACTGTTCTGTTGACCTTACAACACCCCCGCTACTATCTGAAGCAGAAACTGTTGTCACATGTGACGTGTCACGTGATGCATGTGACGTTGTGTCCGTGAGAGGCGAGACGTTTGTCGACGGTGTATCAACTTGCTTGGTTGAACAGATGAGGGTAAATATGTGCTTACGTTTTTTTATCTTCTTTAGGCTGCTCCAAGAGCTGCCGATACACCCCTATTTTAAAACATATCTCTTTGCTTTTATTTCATCTGTGTTTGGAGGTCGGTAATTTCCAGTTAACATATTCCCCTGCGCGGTAAGGGTTTTGGAAATATGTTTCATTCTGTAATTTATAGCTCTATTACTTCTGAAACCTCGTTCAACTTAGTTTTCAATTCTGCAAATATAAGTTCATGTTTATATTTCGTGCTTGCAACTGTTATTTATTGGCCCCGGCATCCGCAGCGAATATGGCATGGCGTGACCGTTGTGACATCAATAGTCTGTATGCCGTCTAAATCTAATCACACAACCGTCCTCTCTACCACTGAAACTAGGGATAGTGGTTTGTACACTGAAGACACTGGTCCTTAATATTAATAAACATTCACATTGAAAAAAATATCTTTGCTTTTATTTAATCTGTGTTTCGAGAGCGTCGATTGCGAGAAAAGTTTGGTAAGAAATATGTTTAATTCTTTAAACCTATTATTTGAAAAACGTCCTTAAACTTTCATTTTCAACATTATAATGTTGTATTCCTTGCTTGCAACTGCCATTTATCACTCCCAAACAGGCATCCCTAGTGAATATATATGGCATGATGAGCCCGCCCTTGCGTGATCGGTGACCATAACGAAATCAAATGACACAGCTAACCTCTCTACCACTGAAGCAAGTTAGCCGTACATAATTTTTACCCCAAAAACAGTGTTTAGCACTTAAAACAAATGGAAACATTTTGCCACCAATGTCGGCTTTCAGGACACAGAATCAGGGCAAGAATATGTTGTATCAGCAGTTCACATGGCAACCGTGGTCAGCATCAGCCATGCTCAGTGCAAAATCGTTACCAGCGACAGCACCGGGAGTGAGGACATGGACCATGTGCGTGCCTACCGGGTATCAATGGCGAACAGTGCCGATAACTATGGTAACAGTGTGGGCCTGGTTGTATTTAACAGTACGTGTATCCGAGCTGATGACGGCCGGGAAGCAAAGTTCAACTGGACAGTGAAGGTATATAAACATTATTTAAAAATCAATATAGATGAGTCGGCAAACAAACAACTTCTTGGATCCTTAATATAGGGAAATTATAATATAACCCCGCCAAAAACAAAACAAAACAAAACAAAATCAAAACAAAACAAAACAACAACAACAACAAACAAACAAAACAAACAACACCATTTAACTAAAGTTAACATTGTACTCCAGTTGTGCAAAGAATGATATAGTTATTACTGGATTTAAGTACACTAGAGAGTCATGTAGCTTCCTGTTCCACACTAGGGTCCCTACTGCCTGGACAAAGGGACCTGTGTGCCTCACGGAGCGAAACAATCTGGAAACAACTGCCTGGTGTGTGACGTGTCTGACAACCAGCGCACATGGACAAGTTCAACAGGTAAAAAGCTGTTCCACACATCAAATGTAAACTGAGTCACTTTATGTAAGGTCGATATCAAAATCCCTTTGGAAGGGCATATTCCATAAACAAAACAAAACAAAATAAAACCCATCAAATAAAACATTATCTTCAGATATAATAATTACAGTAGAAATACCCTTTCCATAATCAAACGAATTGTCTATGATGTAAATATTTGTTGAATGACTGTGATACAGGTGTTCTTGAAAAGGCAGGTACATTATGTCCTCATCAGTGTCCACTCACAAAAGCACATTGAAAAGTAAGCCAATTTACCATCTGAAAAACACGACAAAGTCAATGTTAGTAGTTGAGAACTTGCATAGGACCTGAAGTTTATCACTGAAGCGTCGATATGGCCTTCACGTGTCTTCCATAAAACTTTTGAAAGCCTTCGAAATGACTTGAATGTAAAAATAATCCTTGACAAATGGTCGATTGGCTTTCTTTATGGTATGGTTGACTGTTCCTAAAAATGTTTTAAAAGCTATTAATGCTTGTTGTTAAGGTTGGTACTTTTAAGTTTGGTGTTATGTTTTGTGTGTGTTTGTCAGATGTTTGATCTGCATTGTTGTAGTTTGTAGTCCGCATTTGCCTATGTTGTTTGAACCGACAAAAGAAAATATTGTGCGTGTTCAACGTGTGACTTTAGTGGCTGTGTGTGACTGTCATCGTAGAATGTGTAACAATGTATGTTTCAGAGTCGAGATGCCAGAGTGAGAATAGACGGCTTCATCTTATATCTGTAGCGGCGTCTGTCGGGGGTGTCGCTCTCCTCCTCATCATCATCGTGCTTGCGACATTCTGTGCTTGCAAACGGAGTAAAAGAGCGGGTAATTGAACGCCATGATCGACTGAAATGGATTCTCGTGTTTCTTGACTGAGAGGTTGACATTGTTTATAAACAAATAGGCATGTCTTGCTTGACTGTGTTGAATATTCCATCACAAGGGCATTCTCTCCCCACAAAGGTTACTTGTCATACCTTCCTACGAACCTCTGTTCTAATACGGCCATATTTCCCGTTCTCGTAAAATCCCCTAGCGGCAAAAGATCGCTACACGAATGATCTCCCTTCTTTCTATCCAATCTGAACACGTGTTAAATCGACTTAGATTCAACTTGACTAACACAAACAAATGTGGGGCCACAAATTTCCCCCATCTGCCGGGGACTTGTGTTGATGTTACACACAAGACATTTAATGGCTAGCTTGTCAGTTGTCAACGAGGGCGATGGAGACGCCACTGATCTGCCATAACATGACTGAGTTCTGTCTAGAAGAAACGTTTGCGCATCGCGCAGGGGAAGAGGTTTAGTTTTCTCGAAGCATACGGAAATTACCGAGGCCTTGCGTATGATCACTTTTGAAACAACGTCGCTGATTGCACAACTAAATCTGATTGCCTCCAATCACGAGTCTTGAACGCTCACACCATGAAAGGGCAGTATTAGAACAGAGGTCACGTAGGATATGACAGGAGTAACCTCCGTGGGAAGAGAATGTCACAAGGGATATCTATTTCAAATCACGAACCATGAAGGATCTTTTTAGTAATATATGTTCTCATTTAATTATTGCATTTTTAAAAGAATTAGATTTGTTAACTGATTTGTAAATAGATAAATATTGTATGATTGGAAGTTTAAATTCATAACTCGGATTGTTAGTTGCTGTACCCTCAAGGGGGGTTGAAGTATTGTAAAATTATTGTCCTCCTGAGAGGTAATGTAAGACCCAAAATTTAAACTTACCATTATTTTTAAACGTAGTATTCTTGTTATTTTAATTTTGGCTATCATTTCTTACAATCGCCAGCAGCTGAAGGGATGGTGTAAATCCAGCTAGGGTCCATGCAGGTCGCAAAGGTACTGTAAGTCCCCATGGTCCCTAGTATGGTGATCTACCTTCTGTTGTTGGCGATCTATAGCCTGTTTTTATATTGTATTGTCCCAATAGTGCTATTAGTTTTAACTTTCCACGCTAGTTTTAATTGCAATTGTGATATTCTAGTTGTTTTACTGTCCTTCGTCGACAGGTTTTTATAATATACATATATTCCATTTCAATGTCAAATATGGTCTTGTCACGATATGGCTGCAATCTTACCGATGTGACGTTAAATAATAACTCACTCATTATAAACAAATAAATATCAAAAGTCATTCACGTGGGATATTCGGCTTGTGAACTCCTCACTAGTGTAACGTTGCCTGCTGATGTGATCGTGTCGCTCCCTTTATATTTCGGGCCATCAGTTGTGAAGTTTTAGATTTGAAACTATTAGGGATATAAATCTGAAACCAATTTGGTGATACCAAAACTCTGATGTACTCACAGGATTCCGACCACAGTCTGCAGTCAAATGACCACCATGCTAATTCTTACACACACAATAAAACAAAAAAAACCAGATGTTCGTGTGAATGTAATGTAGGTAATATGTGTGTGAATTTAACACATGACGTTTTTGAATCCTGACCTTCCCAACTTGTATTTCGTCACATCCCTTTTTACCGTTAAAGCAGAAAATCATGTATATCTGATGAGATAATCAGGCGCTACAGTGCCAAATTCCTGCTTTGTGAATATGAAATTGTACTGACAGGGACGGCTGAAATAACACATGTTTGTTAAATGTCATTTCTGTTACAGGAAAGAAGAACAATGAAATGCGGAAAGTGTTCACATAGGAATGACCACATCATACTGCTCTGCAGCCGGCACACTACCAAGTAGAAATGTCTTTCCTTGGTTGGATATCTTTGGCTGCATCAATAAATCAGAAATATAAAAAACGTAGATTAATTCACGGATAGTCAACAAATATGCTTAAGCAGAAGTAGAACCTTTCAAGATATACCTTTAAATCTTAACGTTAAGCGGAATGGTCTTGTTATAATATACGAATCAGTGTGCAATTCATTCAGGACTGAAACCAGTGAAATTTTGCAACTTCTGTCAATGTGCTTAGAGACAAATATCATCATTATTCATATCTACGAAATACGAAAGTATTCTTAGGTCCTATATTCTCCAAACACTTTGTCGGGTAAAAATGACGCATAGCACCTTTGAATAATTGAGTACAACATTTTCTAAAACCATCCCCTGACACATTATGTAAGTAGCAGATCTTTGGCTGTGTTGTACTTTCATTTGTTTTGTTTTAGGGCAGGACATGCTTAGCCTTTTCGCAAACACCTGGTGTCAACACTGATTTTTTGAGGATCCACTTCATATCAGTTTTCACACCTGTTTTGCCCTTTTCACCAAATGGACTCTAATCCCGCGGAACTTTATTCACTGACACCATTTCTAAAGAATAATTGGGACATCAACTTTGTAACACCATCACCACACTGGGGATTCTTTTACTGACTGACTGAGATTGGTTTTACGCCGCTTTTAGCAATATTCCAGCAACATCATGGCGGGGGACACCAGAAATGGGCTTCACACAATGTACCTATGTGGGGATTCGAACCCGGGTCTTCGGCGTGACGAGCCAACGCTTTAACCACTAGGCTCGCCGTGAGGACTATGTCAACTGCAGCTAAAATTGCACGTACCATTATATCAAAGAGCCGAATTATTGTAATATGAAGACATTAATTCTCACTGCGAAGAATAGCTTTAATATTGTGCTTTTCAGCAATCGAATTGACAGTAGCAGGTCAGATATTTATTGAAGAATGACATATGCTCCAATATTATGCACCAGTATAATAACCTGTTCGCTCCTGTTTGTGACATATACCTTGCGCTCAGTATTGAAATCCGTCCTCTCACTGATGTACACTTTACAAATCAATGGCTTATATGTACTGTTACCAGCACTCTGTCGTATTTGTTTCTAGTTTCAAATAAACCGATTGTGCTCTTATCTGGACCTTGTATTTTGAATTTGTAATCTTATTCGAGGGTCAAACCATAAGAAGAAGGTCAAGGAAGTCTTCATTCAAATGTTCCGGAAAACGATCCGCTATCATATACTGGACAAAAATAGTTAGGGATATCTTTACATTTTGAAATTATGAATAATGATCTATTTACTCATTGACACACCGATAAAATATCAATCATAAAAATACTAATACCCCTTACTTATTTGTCCAGTATAGTTAGAATCTAGGCTTGCTTAGGACTGGATGGTATTTGGGATCTGAACATGTTTAGCGTCTTTATATGGCAACGTCTGTATCCGAGGCTCTTTGAACTTAACTGTGGGTACTTTGAGAAACTTTCGCTTTCTGTTTAGTGTGTTTAATGTACAATATGAATACATTTGCATGATTTAAACCAGAGATTGACAATTTGTGTTCATTAAGTTCGTAAAAGATTCCTGTGGTGGATGTACATTCGATTTACCTTTTCTGTAAATTAGTAAATGCTGTACCTACCAATAAAAGGTGAACTTCATTTTCACTATAATCTAATCCATAACATGACTGACTGAGTTTGGTTTTACGCCGCTTTTAGCAATATTCCAGCAATATCACGGCGGGAGACACCAGAAATGGGCTTAACACATTGTGCCCATGTGGGGAATCGAACCCGTGTCTTCTGCGTGACGAGCCAACGCTTTAACCACTAGGCTACCCCACCGCCCCTCCATGACATGAACAGTAGAGAATCTACATTCAATATCAATACCAGTTCTACGTCCTACTTCTACTATTAAACTTTCTCCTGTATATTGATGAGAAAAGATTCCACATTTAATAATGACTTGAACATGACGTGTGAACTTAGTCTTGAATTTTCAGCAATATTAGTGCGCCACTGTTGCATGTCGATATCTTTGATGTGTTGTTTGACTTGTGATAGAAAGTTTTCACGGTTTCCAATATCTTGTTTGTTCGCAGTGCGACTCAGATTAGTGTGTGTGTGTGTGTGTGTGTGTGTGTGTGTGTGTGTGTGTGTTTGGGTTGGGGGAAGGGACATACAGACAAATTGACAGGTCTGATGTCTTAAAAAAAATATATGCAAGAACTCCTTCTACCTCTTTCAGAGTACCTCTGCAACAATATATTATTGTGTTGCCAAGTTTAATCGTTACATAATTTATTAAGCGAAAGTGACTTGTGAATGGGTACGCTCAACCCAACCAAGGGAGGTAATAAAATTATCGGCTCGAGCCGTAGATGCATCCAGGGTACAGTAGAGATTTATTGGAACGTGTACCCTGGAGATTATTTGACGAGATATTCCTATCGTGTGAGATGCTGAATGTCAGAGGAACTAAGAAATATTCCCTCTTCAATGTCTTATTAGAAGTATGGTGTTCAGACTGGTTGAAAGGTCACCTCCCTGAGAGGTACCAACTACACCGATCCCTCCTTGCCGTACACTTGGATGAGAGGCAAACCAGTCTACAGCACCCTGAATGAAAGACAAAGAAACACAAATTTGTCATTTGAAATACCGCACCGGCATATTTCAGGTTTGTATTGAGGGTTTGAAAGCCATGAGATGATTTATTGAAACAGGTATCATATCCTCTAAAATTGTAAGCAAACCTTGAAACAAAGATCATCATGAATTTAGGCTGCAGGCACTTTCAAATACATCCCAGTTGAGCGTGCAAGAACATACCAGAATGTAATCAAAGTCAAAGTCAGCCAATGTCGGTGGGAGATCGTCATACCCAAAGAAAGGAAGAGCATAGGAAATGAAACCTCTGGACGCTAACAAAGCTGCACGGAACTCCGTCAGCCCTCCAGTGGAACCAAACATGTCTATTATCCCGGGAAACGGACCTTCTCCTTACGTTCAAGAAACAATTATACATTGATTTAATCGCATACAAGTCACAATTCACTATTACCCTGGATAACCCAAGCTGCATATGGCGCACTAGAAGGTTATAGTCACATGCACTACTATAGATTTATAATTTCATTTAGTCACAATATGGCTCAAATATTGCTGATGTGACTTGACATCTTAACTCACTCACTCACTCACTACAGTCACATGAGTTATCCCACTTGGTAACCATTTTTTGCTGGATGAGCATAGGCAGTTGTGAACAAACTGACTAAGATGAGACGACATGTATCACATACGCTTCTTTGTGGGGCGGGACTGAAGTCCTAGAAACTCTCAGGAGTCAATCTGCTAAATACGATCACCCATCCCAGGACTCGTTGCTTAGCTGATTTGTGAACTCAGCTTTATGCACAGGACCCTACACCATAACATAAGTTTAGCTGAGTTGTATTAACGTCACATCACATCGGCACTATTTCAGCCATATAATGACGAGATCAAGTTTGCATTGATGAGCATTTTACGTACAAACGATTTCTTACAATAACATGATATTAGATGGAAATAGAAAAAATAGCCAGTTTTGTGATCTTCTGTATTTAGGTGCTCTTCAATAGAAGCCTTACGTTCAATATTAGTTATCTATGTAATTATCATTCAGCCAATCTTTAACGTGTTACTTCATGTGTATATTCTGCCGAAAACCCTGCTGACAGATCGTGTTTGAAGTAATTCCAGCCTTGCTGCAAGATATATTGCACCTTTAAACGCAAGCAGAAACTTCAAACACTGGTTTCTTGACACGTGCAGGTAAATGTAATACTGCTGAACCTGGGCAGGCATGGTAGTTACCTTCAGGCAAGAAGAGAGTTCCCCTTAGGGAACCTTCTCGCACGACAGTCCTTCTCACAGATTCGTCTTTGTACCATCGTTCTAGCTCCTCTGTTGCTAAGACTACTGGTGTGGCCAGCTGCAGGTCTTCAAGGGGAATGTGGCCATCAATTACAGACAGTCTGAAGACAAGAGGTGTCGTCACATCTCCCTTTCTAAGAAGTGGATCCTTTGAAATCCCTGGAACAGGCTTCATACTCCGGAAGAGTCCCATGCTATCATGGCCTGTATAAAACCCAAATGCACCATCGTTACGGAGTACGTTCATTGTGGTAAGGCTTTGTCATGATGCACATGGCAAACTGATGGCGTTTGTCGAATTGGCTGGGTATGTATAGGCTCAAATCATTTTCTTCCAGGTATCAAACTAATTGGTGGCATGACGAAATGGAAATTAAAGATACATTTAAATAAAGATAATTCTTTGAGGACAAATTCTAAAATGAACTGAAAAATATCCAGAGACACTCTTGGATGACAATACAACAGTCAGTTTGAGACACGCGTACGGGCCAATCATTACAAGTGTCTCAGCGACCGCCTCCTTGGTGTAGTGGTTAGAGCATCCGTCCGGAGAGCGGAAGGTCACGGGTTCGATCCCCGACTGCGTCATACCAAAAGACGTTAAAATATGGTACTTGTTGGTCCCTGCCTGGCGCACGGCATTAATGGGTACAAAGGACTGGTCGGCTCGGAGTCAGTATAATGTGTCTGAGTGGGATATTCATGCTTCATTGCGGCATGGTATCTCAGTGGGCTAGCACTATAAAACCAGCTTCAGTCTGGGCTAGTACAAGCAGCCGCACACACACATACACACGTATGCACGTCGTCATATGAGCGAAATATTCTCAAGCACGACGTTCTACCCAATTTCACCTCACCTCACCTCACCTCACCTCACAAGTGTCTCAGCAAAGCTCGAGTCATGTAAATCTGTTTTTCACTTACCCTTGCATGTTCCCCCAGTTGAAGCATGCTCAGCTATATCGACTTGTCCCTGTTGTTCAGCTTGAAAATGGCCACATGAGCTGAACACGGCCTTTCCTTCCTCCACCTATGCCTGCACCGTCACTCGCTGTAGTGGACGAAGATAAGTGACTTTGAGGGAGACTCTTTCGTCAACAAGTGCCACACGGGGATTAATACTGAAATAAGTCTTAGTTGAATTTGGGTGGCCCTGGGTGCTGATAAATTGCACATTTGTCCTAGTATAATCCAAACACAATCCAAACATCACGTCGGCAAATTAAGAGTATGCAAAGATCGTCCACTATGTACACGAGGAACACAAATTTATGAACTGGAACTTTCACATCCGAAAAAAATATCAAATGCAAGCTGGCTTTAAACCTAAATTATTTTTATTGAACTGTTTCTTTTTTTCGATCACATTCCATTTATGCTTTTGTGCTCTTGACAACCATCTGGATTTGTGAAAAAATATATATATTTCATACACCGATTTGCATTCCATGCCCGGAACTTTTAAATATGACAATTACCATAGAAGTAAAGCAGGAGATAAACGGTTTTCAAAATCAATATTTTGTATTATTACATTCTGCTCATCATGGAACCAGACGTTTAAACACGCAGCGATATATGCTACAAAAAAAAACTTTGCCATAATCATAACATATATTGATCCTCAGCAACCCATTTTTGTCTTAAGACAGTGTATGAAATAAGCTAGAAACCCAGCAGGGCTGGGAACTTCAAAATGTTACCAGCCCAAATGGAATTAAACCAGACCAGACACCAAGAGCTGTTGAATTTATTCAGATGTATGGATTATCTAAAAGTTTTACCAGACCATCGGGCTGGCTTGCTGTTATTTTAGACCGTCCGTCAGAAGTCTATCCCGTCTCGAGCGGTCGGACGGGCCTTATCGTTGGAAATCGTTGAAGAAAGACTTATTCGATGCTCTTTTTGATCGACATACACTATGTTTTATTGTACCTCAGAAGTTGCCATAAAATCACATGTGACTGTAGACATATCTCTAACCATTTCGTGAAAGTTCGCGTTTCTGTTGTAATTATGTCAAGGTAGAATGAATATAACCTGGTATACATGTATATTCAAAATTGCGGTTCTGAGGTGTCATGTTCGCTTTCGAAAAAGTGAAATCAATAGGCCATTGTTCTAAATGGGATTCACCGGGCTTACCTTGTGTTCACGCACGCACATACATACATTTAAGTTCATGGCATGCCAAAAGAGGCAGTCTGGCTTCCAAAAACAGGGCCAGTCATTTTCAACCGAAAGACGGTTTCATTTTATTCAGTTATTGATGTGAGTTTTCCAGCATGCCGATTATTTACCTTAAGAGGCAGGACACATTTGACAGACGCATTTTATCATAAACACTTCACGACTAAAATGAAACGAATGCAAACTATATATGTGTTATCATAAATGTGGTATATTGTTCTGTTATAATAAGGTGATTTCTAAATGCCCATCAAGCATCTGAGGTGGTTTCTTTGTTGTGTCCACACATGCCATCGCATCCCAGCTGCGTAGATCGATGCGCATGCTGTTGATCACTGGATTGTCTGGTCCAAATTCGATTATCTACAGACCGCCCCCATGCAGCTGGAATACTGCTGAGTGCGGTGTTAAACAACAACTACCCACCCAACCAACTAACCAATCAACCAACCCTCTTATATCTACGAGACCACAAAGTTTATTATCCCCAAAAGGAAACGCATAGGTGTTTTGTATTTTTAAAAATCTATTAATTACCTATTGTGTTCAAACAATCGTCAAAATATGTAACAAAAGTGTTGATAACATGATTTTACACAATTGCACAAGTAAAAAATCGCCTTTACCTGAAAATGTTTATTTGATGAGATTTCTTACAAGGATTAAAAACGCATCGCCACAACACAACAAAAATCACCTTCCAGTTGAAATTGTGCAGCAAAGAGCATGCACTGTCTGGCTATAAAAATCCAGATTACTTTCGGAAATCGGCGTTTGTTTTGAAGGAGCGACACGGAACATCACCATTGAAAGAATCCACGCTGGAGATTAACAATCTTCTGTGGGCAGGCGTCTGAATGTTAGTCTGAGCACGATATCACGGCTTGCAGCTCGTTACAACCAAACAGGTATAACAAATGGCCGTCCCCGTACAGGCAGACCTCGAGTCACCACTACAGCTCAAGATCGTTACATCAGCGTGATCGTACTGCCACGGGTCAGAGCACAGCAGCCAGGGTGCCTGGAATTCGGAGCATATCCGGTCAAACTGTACGCAACAGGTTGAGAGAGACCCGACGTCGGGACCGTGCTACGTTGTCACCATTGCGCTCAACGTCTCCATTATCTAAAATTATCCACTTGGTTGTATAGACATTGGCTTCTTGTAAACTGATGTAAAAATTCATGCACTAATATCTATTTGTTGACGAGTTATACATGTTTGAAAATACAACATTTTCGCAACAGATTTCTGGCCTATGCGTTTCTGTTTTGCGATAGTATATATATTTTTTAAAAACGTTAGCATATTTAAATTACTTTTCATAATCATTACATTATTTATTGCACACCCTCTTTGTCAATAGTGTCTGCCCCTGTAATTAATGTTATGAAGTTAAGTCATGAAAAAAGCGGTAGTTTCTTTCATACTGTTCTAAACGATACAAGCTGTGTACATGTATCGTTTGAAGATGACATCTTGGAGCCTTTGCGCCTACTACCGTAATAGGTCAAGTAAAACAAGCAAGGTGAGTGTTATATTACACGATACAACACATAGACTAGTTTTAGAGACCCTACGTCCGGTACCGAACCTCACCCATCTGCACTTAGTGTAATCAAGCAGTTAAGACATGTTGACTTGTTAATCATTGATGAAGAAGAGGATATAGTGACAAGTTTGCATACTGGTAAAATAATTCGATGGACAGGTAAACAGACCGCCTGACAGTGGTATGCGTTAACGGAAGCAGCACAACAGATCAACAGCAAGTGGTAACTCCAAATTCCTCACCTCAAGACAAGAGTGGCCTAAGGACCAAACTATATTATCAAAACTGGTTTAATAAAGGTATTGTTTATGGACAAGATGTATGTGATGAAAACAGCTTAATTCCATTCATAAACCTAAAAATATCCTTCAATATAAAGGGTACTATACTTGATTACAGTCGTTTATTACTTAACATTCCAAAAGTATGGAGTGAGTGGGTGAGTTAAGATTTTAAGTCACATCGTTAATATTCAGCCATATCGTGACTAAATTAAATTATAGATTTGAAGTAATTAAAAGTGAATCATAAACACCTGACAATTAAGGACAGTAAAACAACTACACTATCATAGATATAAATTTAAAACTAATAATTCAATCTAAAACAGCTTAACTATAGAAGACGATACCTGCATGGACCCTAACTGGATTTACACCATCCCTACAACTGCTGGCAATTGTAGGCAAATTTAGCTCTAAATTAAAATAGCAATATTACTACGATGCCATCTAAATCAAATGACACAACCTTCCCCTCTACCAGTGGAACTAGGGGTAGTAGTTTGTACACCGAAGACACTGGTTATACTTAATATAAATGGAATCACTACGTCACCAATGTCGGCTTTCAGGCTACAGAACCAGGGCAAGAAAGCGTTGTATCAACAGTTCACATGGCAACTGTGGTCAGCATCACTATGGTGACAGTGTGGGCGTGGTGGTGTTTACAGTACTCGTATCCAAGCTGAAGGTGGCCGGGAAGGACAGTAAAGGTATAATACATGAATTAGAATTTAATACATAGTCAAGAAACATGTAAACTAATGGATATTTAATGTAGGAAAAGTTAAAACAATAAAAAGAAACATTTAACCACAGTCAATCAATTGTGCAAAGCCAGTTGTAGGTATTTCTGGATTTGAGTAAAACGGAGAGTCATTGAAGCTTGCTATTCCACACCAGGGTCCCTACTGCCTGGACAAAGGGACCCGTGTGCCTCACGGAGCGAGGCAATCCGAAAACAACTGGCTGGTGTGTGATGTGTCCGACAACAAGCGCAGATGGACAGGTTCAACAGGTAAAGTGCTATACAACACATCAGAGTGAATGAGCGAATTAATATTTATTGTCACATCGGCAACATTTCAGCCATATCGTGACGGGAACGATTAGAAATGAAAAGTCCGTTAGCGAAGAACAGTAAAGTCACTAGTATATCACGGATATTAAAGTAAAACTAGCATGCTATCATAAACTGTAGTCACAATTCCAATCAC